CCAGTCTGTGATTCTATGATCTTGAGGGGTGACAGAAGTATTTCCATACCCCTGTATTTATATACACTGTTTCTGTGAGGCACATAGAAAAAAAATGGGCACCATGGCATGATCAGAAAGGTGAAAAGTGAAGTCTTTGTGATGTTTTGGGGTAAAGTATTAAATAATAATCAAAACAGTGTGGTGCTACACTCAAAATTCTTGCTTTTACTGCTTGCTGTAGGTTTGCAGACATGTTCATTTTACTGCTAGAGAAAGACACCACCAAGGGTCAGGAATGTAACAGCTGCCTTGAAGAATCCTCGAGTGTCTCAGGCTCCGATTTCCACATAAAAATAAAACCCAGTAACAACAAACCAAATCATTGCAGGTAACTAAGCAACAGATAACTAAGCTCCATAGAATGTCCTTATAGCTCTTGACACAGAAAAATTAAGACCTCGTAACCTAAACCACACTGCGTTTCTTGGTTTGCAAAAAACCAAAGTAGTAAGCTTCTTTACAGTAGGTACAAAACAAATATTGAAAACTTATCATACGTTATCACCTTTAAACTTAGTGTCATTGTTCATATAGTGGTATGTTGACTCCCCACCTTATTTTAAGAGTTTAAAGATAGGGTAGGCTATTACCTCTGGATTATCTAACAGAAGACAGCCAAGTTCATAGCAAGCGTACGGCTGGACATAAAAGTTGTTCTGACGGCACAGCTCATCTTTAGCAGCTCGCTGAAAGAACTACAGAAATTAAAGAAAAAAACTAAGAACCAAGATTGCAATAATACATTAAAATTGACTGTTTGATACTTAAAAAAGATCCCGAAGTACCATTCAACTTTAAGCACTAGAAATCAGCCCAAAGCTAGAATTACATTAAGAATTCCAGTGGTAGATAGTCTTTAAGCAAGTACCCAAAGGTTTTCACTGACAGTACTCTATCAAGGTAAAACTATTTGTTTGGATTTTTACCAAGTAATATATTGGTTGTTTCAAGTGTTTTCCAACTTCATATTGAAAAAAATACTAGATCATGGCAAGCAACTTTAACATCAGAGGTGAAGTACCCAGCTTATTTAAGATATACTTGAGAGAAGCTGGGGAGAGAAAAAAAATTAAAGAGATTTAAAGCCAGCATCAGCTCCCTTGCTGCTTATGTGAATTGCTTACTGAGTTTTGGGGAAGAAAATTACTGAATTTTGGTGAGGAAAAGAAAAAAGTTGTTCCTGACTGGAGCAGTGGCAAAATTATCCTTTGGTATGTGCTAATAACCAAACCACTCAGTGTCTAATAGGTCTGAGGCAGAAGCAGCAAACCCATGCTGTTGAAAGGTCAATCTCCAAGTTTGTGGGGTTTTTTGTTCGTTTCGTTGGGGTTTGGTTTGTTTTTTTAAAGTAGAATTTTCTTCACTGGACAAAGTAAATCCAGCAGAGCCAATAACTTTTCCATTCTTCTTTCCAGCTTTCCACTAACTCTTGCTCCTACAAGCCACTTAAGCTACCATGTTCATTCAACACAGCCAACTACTTTCGTAACATAGAATATAACAAAGACGTGGTAAACAGAAGATTTGAAAAGAACCTGACATACTCTGTTGAAATTCACAAAACAGTATGATCAACAGCACTGGAAACTAACAGCTTGTTTAACACCCTTACTTGACAGTATTTACTGTTTAACAGAATAGCTTATAAGATAGGATCAATGGCGTAAATTATCATTTAACAACTTACTTGAACAGCATCTTCAGAATTTCCTAAGCATTTGTGTATGGCACCAAGAAGCAAATTCTTCAAACCAACAGCCGATGAATCATCAACATCCTGACAAGCTTAACAAAAAGAGTTCAGTAAGCAAACAAGATGGATTGAAATCCTTCCTTAGACAAGAATTGTGGTTTACGGTGACTTTTAGGCTGATGATTAAATTTGACCAGAAAAAGGATATGCTATTAACATTAATATAAATCAAAGTAATTTGGTTTCTTTTATATACAACCCATTTTGTATGAATCTCATTGAGCAACCTGTCACTCATGAGAACAATTCCCAACAGGAATAAACGGCGTGAAGTCAAAGGCAGTTGGTGTGGTGTTCTCAAAAGAAGAGGAGAATTCATTTCTCTACCGGTCTTTGAAACACCCAGTAGAAGGTAAAGTTAAGAAACAATCACACCTCCTTGTGGTGTTAGGGGAAACTGGGTTGACCCAATACTGAAAGAAAAATACATAGTCCAAGTTTCGAGGAGCACAGGGCAAGCAGTTCAGGAAAAGCTGACTTGTTCTGACCTGAAGCCAAGTGACAGATGCACAAAAATCTGTACTGGGCTTAAAAAAAACCCAGACTTGGGTATGTTGGCCTCACAGTTCTCAGTGCTGATGAGAGCGATAAGGCTTATTTGCCAGACTTTAGCTGGTCCACAACCCAGGGACAAACTGTGCCTCAGCTGAGTAGTGCTCTGTTTCCAGAAAGAGCTGAATGACAATGCAAGTAACCGTCCCTAGATGAATCAGGCTCAACTTTGATCAGGCTTATTAGCGCCACCTCTTGTTAGATCAAGGCTAGTTCCATGAGGAGCCAGTTGCCCTTACCTGCACTGTCACCTCCAGAAAGGTTAAGGTACAGGGAGGCCTGCAGGGCTTTTCAAACCTTCAGAAAGAGCTGAACTGCTGTGCCTGGAGCAGTGGAGCTTCTTTTTACTTCACGTTCTACCTCATCTCATAAAGCCTGCCAGATCGTAATTAGCTCAGCGTTCACAACACAGTTAATCCACAACCTATGAATAACTAGGAGTTGGCTGCATGAAGTATTTGGACCCTACACAATACACAAGGGTGTTGACTCTCACTTGTATTGCGAGTCTCAAGTTACTTGGCATCTGCTTACAGAGATACATGTGAATAACAAATTAATTCCTGTATTTTAAAGTCAACTCCTAGCCCAGAGTAAAAGCCTGGAAACTCGCCCCAGCAAATTACACTCCAATTGTTCAAGAGGAAGCAAATTTAAAAAAAAAAAAAAAAATCATAGAATGGTTTGGGTTGGAAGGGACCTTACAGACCATCTAGTTCCCCATGGGCAGGGACACCTTCCACTAGACCAGGTTGCTCAAAGCCTCATCCAGCCTGGCCTTGAACACTGCCAGGGATGGGGCATCCACAGCTTCTCTGGGCAACCTGTTCCAGTGCTTCACCACCCCCTCCGTGAAGAACTTCTTCCTGATATCTAATCTAAACCTCCCCACTTCGAATTTAAACCCGTTACCCCTTGTCCTGTCACTACAGGCCCTTGTAAAAAGTCCCCCCCGACTTCCTTGTAGCCCCCCTTCAGGTACTGGAAGGTGCTATAAGGTGTCCCCAGAGCCTTCCCTTCTCCAGGCTGAACAAACCCAACTCTCTATCATCTCATCATTCTTGAGATGCACAGGGCATATAAAAACAGAACAAAACCCCAAACTGTCCTGGCTCTCAAAAGACTAGTAGTTTTCTCACTTAAAAAAAATCACATACAATCTCCAGAAGTTCAGTGTTACAGAAGAGGAAGTACTTCAGGGGCAGGCATTTTTTATTTCCTAAACGAGCAGGTAATAAATTGAAGCTGTTTGCAGAATGTAAACAAGACACTGCTGGATGGAGCGAGGAGTGCTGCAAAGTTCACAACAGACATCTGGAGACTAAGAAAGAGGCAACCATAAAATGCTCTTTTCACCACTAAGATGGTCCCAGCAGCCAAGACAAACAGAACCCTTATGTCATAGATGACACCACAAGCTACACATTTCCTCTTAGAAGAAAACTGAAATGCAGAAATGAATTGGTAGGTTTATTTATTTATCTGTATCTAGGTATAAATGGGTTAAATTTTGCTTGGTGACTTTGAACAGTAACTATTGTTTCATTTTAAATAATGGGCAAACACAACATTAAAAAACCCAACTATATACAGCCAGGCAGTTAAAGTTCTCCCCAAAACCTATTAAAAAAATGGTAAAAATGAAGCATTAAGCTGAATCTTAATGGTCATTATTCCGTTGTTAATCAAACTGTTTTGCAATCACACGTGCACACAGGTTTAAATTTTCATGCTACAACAATCAGATACTGCAACACAACAAAAGAAAATTATATACCTCTGTAAAAGTAAATAAATCAAGGAACCATATTATACCTTGGCTCATATGCTGTAGGTTGGAGAGGGAACAGTTTGGAAGGGCTTTCCATAAGTACAATACTTCAATGGATGCCAGGACACAGAGCTCTTTGGTCGGCAGTTGTTTTCTAAATCTATCTGCCTGCAAAGTGGGGAGAAAGAGGGAAGGGAGATCTGTCATCTGTCCTTTTACAGGGAACAGAATATTCACAGGCAATGTATCCCAAACAGTAATTCTAGCTGTTTCATGAAAGCATACAACCATGTTATGAAAATAAAGTTGGTGGTAACTGAGCTTAAAGACTACAGGACTATAAAAGCAAAATCTTTCAATTAATTTAAGGGCTTGCATATTGATCAAAATTAAAGCTTCCTTCTATGCAGCCTAGATTTAGTTTACTGTGATTCGCAATCCCAAGTACACACCAACTGGATGCTAAGAAAGTCACATCTGCAAAACCATCAGGTAGGAAACATTTCCTAGACAATCCCTAGCTTTCAAAAAGAACTAAGGCTTTCTCAAACAAGACAAGATACAAAGGAGTAAGAAAGGCAAAGCTAGGAGGAAAATTACCAAAGTAACTACAGTGTCATGTATTTTTATCTTTAATAATTACTTTAGTTGTGAAGTGAATAGCTAATTCACTTTTCTTCTGCTAGGTCCTTAAAATACATGACACTATTGTTTTACCACCTGAATCCTTGTCACTAATTCTACAGAAGCAACATCTGAGAAAACAGATAATTCCTTCAAAAATAAATACTTGTAAAGAATCCAACAGAATTACCAAGCGTAATTACTGTACCAAAACAAGTCAGCCTACGCTAAAACAAACCTTTTTCACTGAAAATTGTTCAATCTGGTTGTTTTTTCTTTTGAAAAGCTTCTGAACTTCCTTGAACACATTCTGAGCACCATTGACATCACCAGTGGCTCCTTGACACACTAAGAATGCAGAAACAAAAACGTGTTAACGCTACTGGGATGCTGAAAGAGGAAAAATTAATATTAGATATAATTTGGTCACAGGTAAAAAGACACAATTCCGGAAAGGATCTAGACTAGGGATCTGACAAACATGCAAATCCCAACTCTCCCAGACACCCTCTGTGATCATTAACAAGTCAGTACTTCTTTTTCATAGCCATTAAAGGAACTAATACCACCCAAGATCTATTAAATCTTGGGAATACACTGTTACATGCCCTGTCACTGCACTCACAATCAGAATTGTACCTACATCTAGAAGAGGGGGGTGGGGGGAGAAAGTACTTACACACACATGCATGTGTGTGGATGCAAGTGTACATTAGGTAATTTTGTTTAACTAAGCCAAGTTTGGCATGAAGCTGCATAAGCAGCAGGCAGTGTGTAAGACCCTGTGCACTAGTAAGTTCCCCAAAACACTGCCAAAACCTTATTATGTCACTGATTTATCGCTCATCCAACACACTGAATATACCCACCTGCTGTTAAATAAGCATAGTAACACTGGGACCACCTGGATTCATTCTTAAGACGTTCAAAGGATTCAAATGCATCTTTGAAATTCATCTCTATCATGCTGCACCAACCTAAAAACAAGACTAATTTAATTTCAGAGAAAGCACAGTAATTCAAATTTGGTGCCAATATTACTGTGACACACAGTATGTTGTGAAAGCTGGAGTTAGTTTAACAATTACACCAGTAAGTTGGAAAGTTGAAACAAAATCAATGACGTACATCTAAAGCTTGGTTTAAATTGGCTAGGAAATGTTGAATTATAAAATTCCACACAAAACAAGAATCCACTTCAGAGCAACAAGTCTATAGACACCAGAGTCCTTTTTTTAATTTAGATACTGTATTTTGTAGAATGCTGAAGCTTATAAAGCTACTATTTGTTCCTTTACTCTTCCTCACTGTGGCAAGATCCCTTAATGAGAGACATTTAAAGCTTGAAGCAACGTATCTCCTCCACTCTAAAGACTTGTATGCAAATTAAGAACTTACAGCTTATATTCTAGTGGAAGGTGTCCCTGCCCATGGCAGGGGTTTGGAACTGGATGGTCTTTAAGGTCCCTTCCAACCCAAACCATTCTGTGATTCAATGATATTGCTATTGACAGAAGGAAATTAACATCAAATATAGGTCCTGCAAACGGTGAAGCTTCACTAAATGGATTAGGTTTTGGTACAGAAATGGTACCACATTTGTGATTCCACAAATAAGATTAATTAATGTCTCATTTTCAATAATATTCTGTAGGTGAACAGTTTGCCCCTGATTCTGTAGTCCATTCCCTGATTTGGCATCACCTTGTATCTGCAGAAAACATTTAAATTATAAAAAACTGTTGAATTCTACTTGTCCAAACAAGAAGACAAGATTAGTACCGTAATCCATCCAAGACAAAGGCCAGTGTTCTAAATTTTTTTAAAAATCCCAATAAAAATAATGCAGTTTGTTTATTGAAGTTACTAGCCTAAACGTGTGAGTTATTTACAGTATAAACATATCCAACTTACCTATTTCATATAAGCAGACATGTTGAATCTCCCTTTGGTCTGTTGCAAGTTCCAAAGCAGTATGAAATGAGGTCAAGGCACTATTGATTTGACACTAACAAGAGCAAAAGAAAAAGAACGGGGGGGGGAGAAATCAGATGCCTGAAATTTGTTAGATAATGCGATTTTGATAAAGAAAATGTTCAGATTTCTGTTAACAGGTATTTAAAAATAACTGAATGGTTAAAAATAAAATTGAAGTGTCCTACAGATTACAGGCTCTGGTTTGATTACATGAAAGAGACATAACATAGCAATGAGAGGAAAACCTCAAAATACATTAGAGTCCTGATTATTTTACATGAGCAAAAACCCACCACAGAGCTAGCAGTTTGAAGGAGAAGGGCTAATAGTAATTCACTACATCAGCTCCACATTGCAATTCCTTTGGCCAGATGCCCTCCTCCCAGTTCTCTCGACCAGGTCACTTCCAAATGGAAGTATGGGCAAATGGTGACAAAGCCTTTCTTTACAATGATAAATGAGCATCTTAAAAGAGGTCCCAGAGTGAAGAGGTTTTTCCATATATTTCATATTCACGATATGAAACATAATACAAAAGCCAAATTGCAAGACACAAAGGAAGTAAGAATCACTAATACAAAGCAACTCAGTTTTATACTGAAATGAAACTTTAGACAAGAATGCAAAGCGTTTGCTTGCAAGGTACTAACCATTTCCCTCATGTGCAAGAGTAAGAATTAAAACATACTGTAAGGAACTTGGACTCCAAGGCATATAAAAAAAGAAATGTAGAATTCTAGAGGTAAAAGTGGGGGGAGGGGAATAGTAGAAGAGTTTAACAACGTAGTAATGATCACCAGTAACTTACAGAATCACAGAATGGTCAGGGGTGGAAGGGACCTCTGGAGATCATCTAGTCCAACCCCACTCTCAAGGCAGGTTCCCCCAGAGCAGATTCCACCTGGAATATGTCCAGGTGGGTTTGGAATATCTCCAGAGAAGGAGACTCCACCCCCTCCCTGGGCAGTCTGTTCCAGTGCTCTGGCACCCTCACAGTGAAGAAGTTTTTCCTCAAGCACAGGTGGAACTCCCTGTGCTCCAGTTTGTGCCCGTTGCCCCTTGTCCTGTCACTGGACACCACTGAGAAGAGCCTGGCCCCATCCTCTTGACACCCCCCCCTTGAGGTATTTATAAACATTTATGAGATCTCCCCTCAGCCTTCACTTCTCCAGGCTTAACAGCCCCAGCTCTCTCAGCCTTTCCACACATGAAAAGGTGCTCCAGCTCTCTAATCATCTTCCTAGCAGTCCTCTGGACTTGCTCCAATGTCTTGCTCCCTGTCTTTTTTGACCTGGGAAGCACAGAACTGGACACAAAATTACAGCCAGTTCAGATCATCTCTCAACCATAAAGTAAGTACCAAATAGAAGGAATACAGCCACTAAGTCCGAAATCCACTGGTTTAGTGCAGTAAGCTTCTGACTAATCTCATTTGTAGTCAATCTACCTTTAAAAGTCATGCATTTAAAAAGAATTTAAAAGAAAGTTTAGCTTTCTGCACAATAAGGGTATCTTTAATTTTTAGTTTTACTTATTTTGCATGATTTCACCTTCTTCAACATCCCTCAGTAACCACTTTAAAGCAACAGTTAATAGAGAACTCATAAATGCTGCATGATGTGTAAGATGATAAAAAGGGATATGAGAAAAAAACAACAACAACAAAAAAATTGATAAGTCAATAGTTACCAACAGCTTAGCAAAAACAGGCTGACTGCTTTTGTAAGAACCAGAACAACAGTTTTTCTGACTACCTTAATTTCTAGTTTTCCCAGTCTAGGATGGGACTTCTCCAAAACAATCATCATAAGAGGGGGTATGCAAATCACAATTAATTAGTTTTATGCACAGACACACTGTATCTCCCAATATGGCCTATACCCGCTTGAATAGTGTTCCTATATATATCCTCACATACTAGTTATAATAATTTATACAACAGAAGAAGCTTTAAGCCACTCTCTGCTGGCTAAACACGTAAGTGAAAGAAACCCCCAAGAAAGCAAGCCTGTCATCTGCACAAGCATAACCAAATTAAAAAATTCCTGCCGCGCTGTATCTTAAGACCACACACACACAGAGCTCTGAAGTGATTTTATTTGTCTCATCAGGGAAAACTGGTTTAGTTGCTAAGGAACAATTTAATTGTAAATCATATATATTGCATCACAGCAGTAAAAATTCCAGCAAAAGGATCCACAGCTGCATCAATATAAAACACTGTACACTTAGAAAACAAAATGGTGATGAGACTAAGATGCTTGTTGGCATGACAAAAGAATATACTACACAGACAGGTGAGTTATACTGGCCCTCAAAGTTACCAGGGAGCCTGAGCAATGTACACCTTGTTTACTTTTGTAGCAGCACATTATGCTCAAGGTCCGAGTGGAGATCGGTGACGAGTGGCGTTCCTCAGGGGTCGGTGCTGGGACCAGTACAGTGTAACATCTTCATTAGTGACACTGATGATGGCATTGA